CATTAGTACTTGAATAACTGCGTGTGATCATATGTAAGACATTATTTGCGGGGCTGGAGCAATAGCACAGCGGGTAGGGCGTTTGCCTTGCACGTGGCTGACCCGGGTTCAATTCCCAGCATCCCATATGGTCCCCTGAGCACTACCAGGAGTGATTCCTGAGTGCAAAGTCAGGAGTAACCCCTGAGCATTGCCGGGTGTGACCCAAAAAGCAAAGCAAAAAAAAAAAAAAAAAAGACATTATTTGCAAGAGATGTTAGGACATTCTACTTGTCAAATCCTAAAAAAGTCGATGTCCTAGCAAAGCCTGGACAAAAATTCACTAAAACTGGTATTAATTCCCTCCTGCTCAATAAAAAGATTTAAAGTAAGCTAATGATAGTTCACTAAGACATCTAAGTAGCGAAACTGGGCTGGATCTATGACAGAACAGCAGGCAGGGTGTTTGCCTTACACACGGCCAACCAGGGTTCGATCCAGGCATCCCTTATGGTCCCCTGAGCACTGCTAGGAATACTTCCAGTGTACCTAGCCAGGAATAACCCTGAACATTGCCAGGTACGAACCACCTCCCGCCAAATAATATTAATAATATTAATAAAAATAATAACTGACGTGATGAAACTAAAGAACGAATTGCCTCCATCAGTACACAGATGCTCACTTACTTTACTAAGACCAACATTGTGGTATTTCTTTTCCATGATCTTCTTCACTGGTTCCTCTTCCTTAAAGGTTATAAAGCAGAATCCACGCCTCTTATTGGTCTTGTTGTCCATGGGGAGTTCTATGGATTCCACCTGTCCACAAAGAAGTTTTTTAATACCACAGATTGCAAGTTATAGACACCAAAAACAAGATTGGTGGGGAGCTCATAAATGAGTCAAGAAAACATGTACTGGGGCCAGAGACAGTTCACTGCAAAAAGTGCTTGCCTTGCACAAGGCCAACCCAGGTTTGATCCCTGGCACAGCATATGGCAGAACTTCATCATGCCCTGGCGAAATTGACCCCTGAGCAGAGCTTGGGTAAACCCAGAGGACCACCAGCGGTACCCCAAAGACCATCAAAAAAAAAAAATTGAGTCTGGTATTGGAAAATTGCATGCCAAAACTCAAACCATAACCTAAATTATAAAGAATAGTCCCTGAAGCTCCATTGTGGTATGTTTTACCGTCTAAGTCTTTTAAAAAATTCTTGGGGGCTGGAGCATAGCAGGTAGGGTGTTTGCCTTGCACGCAGATGACCCAGGTTCGATTCCCAGCATCCCATATGGTCCCTCAAGCACTGCCAGGAGAGATTTCTGAGTCATGAACCAGGAGTAACTCCTGTGCATCACTGGGTGTGACCCAAAAAAGCAAAAAAAAAAAAATCTTCAGGGGCTGGAGCAATAACACAGAGGGTAGGACGTTTGCCTTGCACGCGGCCAACCCAGGTTCAATTCCCAGCATCCCATATGGTCCCCTGAGCACCGCCAGGGGTGATTCCTGAGTGCAGAGCCAGGAGTAACCCCTGTGCATCGCCGGGTGTGACTCAAAAAGCAAAAAGAAAAATCCTTCAAATGAGGACTCTAAAGAATTACAGAAGGTAAGCTTACAATACAGTGAACATTACAGAAGGCAGGCTTCACAATACAATGAACTAATTAGCTACCTAATTCAAGTGTCACAAACTCAAATGCAGAGCAAGAACAAACAAGTCGGATTTTAAGAAAATACCTAATTTGTTAAAAGAAAAAAAAAAAGGAAGTGGTGAGGGAAACTGAGAATTGAATATAGAAGCCAAAGGCAGAAACCTGCTCGTCTTAATTGGCTACTGCCAATGCTTCAGTGCCTGCTGCTGACTCTCCAAACAATGGAAGGATTGCTAGATTTTTGTGGAAAAAAAACCCATTTCCAAATATTCAAACAGAGCAGGAGCCATAGCCCAAGGGGTAAGATGGTTTTGCTTGTGTACATGCAGCAAAGCCTGGTTCCATTCCCTGAGAAGCACCCGCAGCAAGCCCTTACAGAGCCAGAAGGAAGCTCTGAGCACAGCTGCATGGGGCCCAAAAGCAAAAATTTAAATGCATCATTCACCTGTTGAATCAACAGAATCAACACAAACTGAAAACAGATTATATATGGAGCCAAGGGCCACAAAATTCTCATCTTGTCCTTGAGTCACTGATGTACAAACGCAAATTCTAAGTCTGTAATCACCCTCATCAAAGTTATACATCAATCTGTTTAAATTAAGCTGCTATACTTATTTTTTAAAACTGTTGTGGGGGCCACACAACAGCACAAGAATCATAGAGCTTTTCCAAACAGACCCAGCATATTCCTCCTTGTCCTATTCAAATTTGTCCCCTTCTCTGAATGCATTTTCATCTATCACAGAGAACCTATGTAAAATTTCTTCCAAGCTTCAAGATAAAAAAAAATACCTATTCCATTTGTGAAGCCTGTGCCAGCTATGCAATGCACAGCACTCAGTATTAATGACGGGGGGGAGGGGGGAACCCTGCAATAATTTAACCTTCAAAGATGTTTAAAAAAATAAAAAAGTGGGGTCAAAGCAATAGTAGCTCGTAAGGCGTTCGCCTTGCACACGTACCCTGGCTGGGTCCCCAGCAGCACAGACGGTTCCCTGAGCCCGCCAGGAGTAAACCGTGAGCACCACCAGGTAAGGTCCAAAAACAAAACAAAAAAATTTTAGTTTTCATTATCAAAACTTCGAATTTGTTCAAATTTTAGAATTTGGGGGCGGGGGGAGAAATCAGTGAAAAACCCCTTAGCTGTGACAAATGACATTCACACTGACCAAAACCAAGTCAAAATATTATCACATACCTCACCAAAACCACCAAAGTACTCCCTTATTTTCTCTTCAGGTGTATCTGGAGAAAGGCCACCAACAAATATTTTTTTAACAGGTTCTTTTGTTTTCATGGCTTTGGCCCTTTTAGGATCAATCACCTTCCCATTCAATTTATGTTCTTTTTGATCCATGACCTAAGGAAATGGAAGTTTTATTTTACATATCTGTACCTTAAGTAATAGCTAAATATAACTAATGCTTGTCATGTGTTGACAAGAGCCAGGATTAAAAATATTGTCCAACTATAAGAGTTCTGGGGCTAGAAAGATGTAAAGTAGGCAGAATACCTGCCTTCACCCAGACCCCCGGCAGCCCAAATGGTCCCTGAACCCTGCCAGGTCCACTCACTGAGGGCAGAGCCTGAGCACCACCAGATGTGGCCCAAAATCCAAAATTTTTTTTTAAATCTGTTACCAGTTCTAAATAAAGGTGGCTACAAAAAGGGGATGGAGCACACACTTTTATGTATTTACTGGAAAACAATTTTTTTCAAAGTAACCGACTGTTACTTTTCTTCTGCCCAGGACTAAGTTCCTAATGGGGCCCAGAGTACAGAAGTCCAGTACAGTGCCTGCCTTGCAAGCAGCCGACCTGACTCGAATCTCGGCACCCCACCGTCCCCCCAGCTGCCAGGAGTGACCCCGACCTGCAGAGTCGGAAGCCCTGAGTCCCACCAAGTGCAAGCACCGTGTCCCCCGACCACCTTGCCAGGTGAAAGCATAGGCCTACCAACTTCCGACAAAATATTAATCATGCCTCATTTTTTTAAAAGGTTAATTTTAGGGGCTGGAGCAATAGCACAGCGGGTAGGGCGTTTGCCTTGCACGCAGCCAACCTAGGTTCGACTCCCAGCATCCCATAAGGTCCCCCCAGCACCGCCTGAAGTAATTCCTGAGTGCATGAACCAGGAGTAACACCTGTGCATCGCCCGGTGTGACCCCAAAAGGAAAAAAAAAAAAGTTAATTTGAATTCAATAAATTCTGGCACACCTGAAGGTGTTCAGTAAACATTAGTTTTGAATCTGACTCTCCCATTACAAAAACGTACTTGCAAAAACTATTATCTCTTCCTTTGCATAAGTCCAAGAAAGAGGACCTCAGAAATAAAGAACAAATTCTGTCCCACTATCCACCTATTTTGTAGGAACTGATGAGAACACATTGCACACTACCTTATCTACACTCTCCGACTCTTTAAATAGCACAAAGCCAAAACCCCTCGATCGCCCTGTGATAGGATCTAACTTCAGAGTGCAGTCTACAACTTCACCAAATTTGGAAAAGTAGTCCTTCAGATCTTTCTTTGTAGTGTCCCAGCTAAGGCCGCCTATAAACATTTTCCTGTAAAGACAAAAAGCAATTATTAAAAGGCTAAAAGTTTTTATATCAAACTGTGTCTTAAGTAGTACCCACATTAATGGAATACCTATCTCCAACTGCACCAATTTACTGAGCAGTACAAAATGTCATTCTTACTACATAACCACGTTTATCATTTTACTGTTCCACTTGTTACTGCTGTGCCTGCATAATTAAAAAATTAGTGAGCAAGCAGCGAATTAAGTCTTTTGACTTGCCAAAGAGATAACACTAAGTAAAAATAAATAGTCCAAGTGAAAATACTATCGTTTCTCTTAAATTACAAGTTAGATGCATAGCAGCAGAATATAGAACGTTAGCTTCAATTTTATTTTCAAATCCTCATTTTATTTTAAAAACCCGCAGTCCCCAATGATCACAGCAACCAGCATTATTATCTATACTGAGGGCCTTTCTATTTAACAGTTCTTTCATTAACAAAACTCTTAGCACAAATCGGGATTATTTTAAATCTAACAATTACATTGTAAACTAATCTTTTTAATGTGCTAAGAGCCCCAAACAAAAGACAAAATTATGTAAACAACTCAGTAATTACCCAATGGAGCACGATCCACCACTAAGTAGCCTAAATTATCTTTTTTACAGTAGTACCTCAGTTAACCAGCAGTAAAATATTTAAACTAAAAATGCCTTAAGGGATTGGCAGGAAATGTAAACCACCAAGAAACCAAGTCCAAAGATAGCCTCCCCTTGTCCAAAAAATATTAAAGGCAAACGTCTTAATTTTTTTATTACCGTAAAGGAACTGGTAGTTCTGTGATTCATTTTCTATCTGCCCCTTAACAACACCCTCTCATCGGAGAGAACAGACCCTCCCTAGCCTACAGAAACAGGGCTGGAAATTTTTACTTTTCTAAGGTAAACTGTCAGAATTTGTTATGGAGGGCAAAATATTTCAACATCCGAATTACATGTTCACTCAACAATTTCTCATCTTTTTAACTGAGGTGGGCCAGGGATGGGGATATAGTAATGACTTCCAGCTCTATAAAGAAATTAAAGCAGAAAATAACTCCATCTTGTGGACTTGTAGAACATAGCCATTCCTGCAACAAGAAGCGAGCTGTGTTCTCTGAACAGACCTTGCTTTGCCTCTCCCTAAAGATGCCAGATCAACTGATGTGGTAACTGCCCTTACTACTCTAGCGCAGGCTGGTTTTCAATTCTGAACGAAGTTTTGTGTTTTGAGCTTCTAGTTCCTGAGCAGTTCTAGGGAATCCTGCAATACCAGGGATTATCCCCAGGGCCCTGCAAACTCCAGCTACATCCAGGCTGTTCAAGTGTCTCCCCAGTCCTTAAATTAACTTTGAAAGAGGGGGATTCGAAGGGGGGCAGCTCATGCTTTCCATTACTGCATAACTGGCTAGGTTTCCACCTCTAAATACAGTCTAGAAAGCTGAGCCACTTAGGATATGCCTGAAGTAACCTTTAATAACTTTATTTCATAGAATTTATAGCTTAATGCTTATTGTCAATTCATTCCAGGGAAATGAAATTTAAGGTATTCGCTTTAATTGTATCCTTCATTCAATAAAACAACATGCAAATCTGGTAAAACTTGCAAGTTCACCTCATCATATTTTTAATCTAAAGATCCAGAGCACATCTTTCATTCATAGAGAAAATTTGTTACAAGTATTCACCCTATCAAGGTGAAGGAAAAAAATGTAAGCAATCTTTTAAGAGAACAAAATACAAAGTGATGGCCTCTTGCTCAGGTACAGCAAGTTCTAAAAGAGAAACAGTTTTAATTAAGTTTAAATTTTATTATCAAATTACCACTTCCGTTATCACTGAAATTTTCCATCAATTAATTTTAACTCAGCATTGCTTGAGCCTCAAGAAATTATAGCAATACTGATGACCAGTTTTGATCTGTTTAAACAAGGGTTTAATCAATGTATTAAATGTCCTTAACTTAAAATAATGAATGACTACAAATAACAGCAAGAATGTAGCAAGTTCTATGATTATTCACAAACGCCTAATGTATTCTAAAGAACAGGAAGTCGGTTTTCTTAAGCACCAAGCATACTAATTCATCAACTGACCCAGTAAAGTGCTCTCTAAAACTTCACACCTTTAATCTTTAGCAAACAAATTACTAATTTTGCCTACCACAGAACTAAAAAAGTTCACTGAAAATGTTTCCTTTCAAAACTATCAAATCCAAATTATAAAATATTCTGATATACTAAATACTCGATAGATTTACCTTTTCTCAAAAATATTAAAAGCAGAACATCAGCTATCTGGCACCTTTAGGGAATGAGGAGCCAATTATTATTCTGAGTCTAAAAGTATTGTCTGCTTTAATTTGTTTTTCAAACTTTTTAATTACTTGGAATAAAACATTTTCTATCGTCTACTGGACACTTGCATTCTTAATGATTTTACATACTTTATGGATCAGCCAAAACTATTTTATGATTGTATTACGACCACACGGTCTTTTTAAGAGCTATTTATTAGTAAACATCTGATGTCCTAGCTCTCTTAACAAATCCTAATTTTTCATTTTTATCTTCTTCCCTTCTAATTAGCAAGGTAGGCTCCCATTATTCACCCTTTCAAATTTTGTGTAAATGAGCTCTTCTTTGGGTCAAATGCATTAATATTTTGGAAGTCTTTTACGTACTTGGCGGGAGCGATCAAACCAAACCATTTATCGGATAAGGCAGCAGCTCCCGGAGCTCCATCCCTGGCCCCAAATCACCTTTCTCTGGCTCTCATGAAGGGTTTGCCACAACCCAAACCAGACAGGTCAAAGTTTGACAATGAACAGAAATGTACTAAATCCATTCCGTCTTGACTAACTGGGACATAGTAAAGCCATCTTTATGTTTATTCAGTAGGCCAACCAAGTAACAGTATTTTAAGTATCATCCATGTTAATTCTAGATAAATGGGAACTTAGTCTTGTTGCAGAACACCAGCATTCTGACACGCTTTTCCTCTAAATGAGATGATATAAAGTACCAATTTACGTTTTCTATATTTTATATTACTGTAGCTTGCTTAAGTCACAATACCTATTGTCCGTCCAGATTACCTCTGCTGCCTTGCATACAAAGACTGACTTTCAAGTTGCTGTCACTCCTGCAGAGATGTGCAAACACTTTACAATGAAGTAGAGACAGAACTTCAGAAAAAACCTAAGCAGTCAAGTTAAAATGTCACAAGACTCATTCAAGTAGCCAAAATGGATGCCTAATTCTGTAACACTTTTTAAAATTTTGATCCTTAGTTTTAAGTGAATAATCCCAATTAAAATGTAGGCATTCATCTGTTCCATTTTAATTTTACCTGCAAGTTATATGGCACCCTAAATGCTATATAATATTCATTTTTAACATTTGCTCAACCATGAACTCTTTTTTTTAACAGATTCTGACATTACATATTGAATAATGGGCATAGTTGTATACACCAGTACAAGTTGACTACCCAAATGCTATGAATCTATCATTTAGACTACTTTGTGGGAAACTCTCTTTACATAGTCATTCAGTGGCAGCAAATCAAACCCTCCATCTACCATCATTTAACTCTATTAATTAAGGAGAAAAAAGTATTCCACATTGATAAAGTGAACTAAGAGCCTATCTTCTTCATAGCTGCAGTTAAAGGACACAAACATACTCTGGCTAAATGCTCAATAAAACAAGTTACCTTGAAAGGGTAGGATACATATCAAATACAGTAAGTAATAGGCAACTTCTTCAAAGCTTAATTTTTAAGAAACTGCACAGGCCTTATGACGTTCCCAGCAAGAGCCAGATTTGAGTTTTATATAAATGGATACTCATATTTTCAATGCCAGTCTTAACATTAAAAGAGACATAATTTCCCATATGAAAAATAGGCAGACTAGAAATTACATTTTAAAAACCTAATTCTAAAAATCACTTTAACAAGTTGTATTTACATCTATGCCAGACATTTTAGTAATTTAAACAGCTAAACATCTGGACAGCACTCAGCACCGACTGAAGGGCAGTATTTTAACGTAATACTTTCTCATCCAAGAAATATTTTCTGCACTATTGAGGTCACTAAGTTTTCCTGGGCTTGGGTTTTGAGGGCTTTTTTTGTTTGTTTGGGGGGGCCACACCCAACGGCCCTCCGGACTTATCCCTGGTGGGGATCAAACACAGGCTGGCTGCATTTTGTGGATACCCAACTGTGCAATCTCGCTGGTCCCAGGTCACTATGTTTTTGGTTTTGTTTTTTTTTTTTTGTTTTTTTTTTTTTTTTGGTTTTTGGATCACACCCAGCAATGCTCAGGGGTTACTCCTGGCAGTGCTTGGGGGACCATATGGGATGCTGGGAATTGGACCCTGGTTGGCCACGTGCAAGGCAAACGCCCTACCCCTCTGTGCTATTGCTCCAGCCCCTCGGTCACTGTTTTAGCATGAAAAATCAAAGTGTACTTCCCAATCACTCGTTACTATGGAACATCTTATCCAAAGTATAAAACACTACTAGACTTTCTTCTAACTCTGGAATAGGAACAACAACAAAAATATCTGCAATTCAGAAATATAGTCATGATCATCCATTTGTGGTATCATAACAAGTTCTGACAGTTTATAAAAATACCACAAAATAGTAATCTAATAGACTCTTTAAGCACATGACTAGCCAAGCGCTGTCATCTTTGAGAGCAAAGTTACCTATTTAAGGTACACTAGTTTTACTTTAAGTAGTATCATTATAATTGCTTCCTTAAAAACCAAACTACGTACAATGAAATCTCACTAGCACCTAAGAAATTAGTATTTTTCTTGGAAACTTGAGGTTTACTTTAGTCACTAGGCTAAAGGGTTTGGTGGTGGTTTGGGTTTTAATAGAAAAGGGTTTGGTGGTGGTTTGGGTTTTCTTTTTGAAGCTAGATACTGATTAGCACGTGGCAAAGTCATTCTAGACTCTATGAAAATCTTTGAGAATAACTTTAAGCACTTTAGGAAAAGTTAATACAAAAGATTAGTCCTGCTAGTTTAGTACATTAAATCAGTCCAGTATGTTTGAATAAACTTTATATGCTAGTCCCCAAATCTCCATTTGCATCTCATTCCAAGGAAGGAATGAGATCTCGTATCTTTAAACTCAATTTTGGACGATAAATTCCCATCTACCTGAAGGTTAAGGAACAGTTTCCTTAACCTAGAGGTTGAGGTTCTGGTTAACTGAGATTACTACACACTCGTAATTCTTTGTTTTCTAATGGAAATCAATTAAAACATCAGCACTAAACTCAGAAAATTACTTTTTACCACTCTTATCAAATAATTTTAGAGTCCTACCCATGTTTTACAGTGCTCCGAAGAGTATAACAGAAAATAATTCTAAAATCCATCCTCAGACATTCTTGGATCCTCTTTTAAAGTACACTTGCTATATTTTCTCTACCTTTCTCCCAAGACTAGAGGGAGGGCGGCGGGGATTTCTGAGCTATTAGGGCTTTACGGTAGTCTGCAGGCTACATAAGGAGGAAGATCAAGGAACATGAGGAATACTTAAAATCACAGCCTGACTGACGGATCACTCCCATTAATGTTTCCCCACCCCACCCCCAAACCATCTTTTAAATATCTAGGTCCAACGTACAATTTAATACTGCAGAAACTAAAACAGGCTTACCTTTCCTCCCCAGGAGCAAATCACTGGCAGTATCAACTATTAGGGCACCAGGTAAATACACACAAACTATGAAAGCAGGCTATGGAGTCAATCTTCCTGTGGTGAGCATTGCTTCCGACACACAGATCAGCAAACACGTTTTATTACCTGAGACCACACTGTTGGAAGTGAAGTACAGAAACAGATCCCACGCTTCCATCATCCACTTCAGGGCCCTATCTACTAAAATGTTGAAGCAGAACTAAAGTCAAAGAAAACTTGGACTAACACAAGTTACGTTTCGCTCCATTTATGAATCTGCACACTTGTGTGCACAGCTTTGACGTGGACTAGGAAAAGGCTTATGAGTCTCCTTTTTGAAAGCTTTCAAGCACGGTGCTTGAAGGCTAAAACGAGTCGTTCTCCACGGTGGCCATAAATCAGACCCAGGAATCAATTCAGAAACTTTCCTAGGTGAGGGCAGCTTACGGAGGACAGAGTATCCATGCTATACTAAAAATGCACAGTAAACATACATTTACGTTTATAGACGGTGCCACATGGCTTGAGGAAAACAAATTTACTTCAGAGCACTGCACTGAAATATTTCAATGATATCCTCCAATTCCAAACCCGAAAGGACACGCAGTGTCAAAGACGTTAATGTCTTTCATAATGTAAGTAAATACTGAAATTAAGCTCATACCCCTTGCCAATTAAATTTAGGGGCATCACTCCTGCAGTGTTAGTTAAGGTTTCACAGGATGCTAAAATTCAGACCCCTCAACTCAGATCACATTTCAGGAAATTCAAAATTCAGACCCCTCTACTCAGGTCACAAATTCAGTAAATCCAAGTGGCCAGTAAATTTACCAGGACAGGGTTCTCAAAGTAAACAATTTTTACAAAGTAAACAATGTTGAGAATGCCCTGGAAGGGAATCATTCGGTTACATTCTCAAATATTTAAAACCACAGTAGGTTCATTTCTGTAAAATCAGACAGGAGATGACCTACTGCAGAACTCCCAAATTCTTAACAAACAGAATCATACATGGGGTAACACTAGTGGTTTTTAGGACCAGATTTGCATATAACTGAACGGGACTCTTCTGCCTCCTGTCCAATCCAATAGCAGAAGTCAACGTACCTACCTTGTAAAATTAAAAGCCAATACTTAAGAGTCTTCACCTTATCTTAGTTTTCTAACTCTGCCTCCAGGTAACGTACTACATGACATGTACATTTTGCCAGACACCAAATAAATTTTAAAGTACCTACCCTAAAAGGACTGAAACACTCGGAGCACACAGAGCACACCCCAAAATGGGAATTCCAGTGCAACTACTTGTAGCTAGGGACGTTATGGAATTGGGAAGAGGAAAAATGAGGTAAGGCAGAAAGGCATTTCTAGTAAGCATTCGAAAAGCCCACGGTGAACTATAAAAACACCCACTAGAGGCATGCTTTCCTCCTAAACACAGCTGTTTATAGAGCAGATTTTTAAAAACTACTTCAAGACTGCAATCAGTCTTTAGAATGTTTAGCTTATGATCACTTTATTCTCATTAAAGAGAAATGCATGCAGAAATATTTCATTAAGGTGAGATGACTTTTTCATCTACCAACCAGTCATCCTCACTGGGATTATGAAACCATTGCCCAATATCCCTCAAATCAAGAAAAAGAAGCAGGTGTGGTATCAAGTACAGCAAGTTAAAAATTATGTTTAGCGGTTTTGAAATTCTTCAGAAAGAAAAACATTTGTTTCTAAGAGTGAGAACAGCCCGCAACCTTCAAGCCTAAGTTTGTGGTGTTTTCAAAACCTTCAAAAACACTTGTAAGGTCTGAAATATGCAGAGTAAAAAAGCTGCAAATCTAGTTCACAGCGGTGGAAAAAGTCCCATCAGTTAATCAGGCAATACTTTTCATCCAAAAACCTGATTCTGGGCTGTAACAATACCACAGCAGATAGGGGAACTTGCTGTGCACACAGTGACCGGGGTTCAATTGCTGGCAAACCATATGGTTTCCCCAAACCAGCCAGGAGTGATCCTTGTGCACCCGCGCCCTGTGGCACAAATGACCTCCATTAAAAAAAAAAAAAGGAAAAAAACCCAGCCTTTTCTACATCAAACTGATCTACTCTTCTATTTTGGGCAAACTGTCTCAATTATGCTTTATCTCCAATATGAAACTAAACTGATTTCAGGGGACGAGTATTAAATAGTAAGTCTGTGCAACATTCAAACATCCCAACTGGGCTCTTAAAACGCTACGTAGTTTTGTGTGGCGGTATGTCAATTATCTGGAAATTACAGGCCCTTAGCTCCAGTAGTGGTGAACATACTCCTAGAAAACTCAAAATACAGTCTTCAAGGCAGAAAGACTGACATTTAAGGAAATGGAGGGGCTAGGGTGGAGGGGTAAAGAACAAGACACAATCCACCAACCTTCCAAAAGAAAAGTCATGCAACAGTGAATACATATCAACCAACAGCAATTAACATTCCAGCCAAATCACGTTGAGAGTGGAGCACCGAGGAGCGGGAGGGGGAGACCACCATCAGCCGCCTCCCAACAGGGCTCAGACAATTCTGGGTTCAGTTCAGTTACGTTTGTAATATGGCTGGTGATAAGAGACATTTTTGCATACATATTCACAACACTCAAAACTTTTACTTGACATCTAAAAATTCGTTGTAACATGCAAGTTATTTTAAACGCAAAAATTTTTATCAAGTAACTAGCATTAAACTTGGAATCCAACAAAGAACTTTCATCAGAACTTGAAATTACACGTATAATTTTTCTTGCCAGATCGAAAAATAGCAGTACTAAAGTTATTAAGCTTTAACTGGCCAAACCACAATCACATGCATTACCAGGGACCAAAAACCATGTAATGGCATCAAACTTGCCCAAAGATCAAACACTATGCCGAGAAAAGTTATTGCATCCCAGGTGCACGAGCGCCTGCTGGGCAAATGTCTAGGGTTTCCTGGGAATGGAATCAATGGGCAACAGACCAGTACACAGCCTCAGTACGTCTCCCGAACCCTCTATAATACAGAAATAAAATGTAAAAGTTTTACCATTCTTCCCGCTGTGCCGTCGCTGCTTCAGAGTGTCGTGGGGAGGAGTTTGAATGGCTAGGGAATTAACAACCGGTACAGCAACCAATCAAAATTCTAGTTTTAGTGTTTGACATCGTTAGGGTTAAAAACTTTTCATTCATCACCCTTCAGTTCAACAGGAGCTAACTACAAAGGCTTTTGAGAGCTGAAAAAACTCAAGCGCCTTCAGGATAAATAAGCCTGGCCCAACCAGCAAGTTAGACAGTCATTGGGGGGCCTCTGTCCAAAGAACAGATTCAGAAAACAACAGAAAAAAAACCAAACTGGTAAAGGCTGATGTTTCCAAATACGGAAAACTCAGTTGTCCCGAACTGCGCGTAATTCCAGGTCAGCTCTGTTAAAGCAAAGCGAGGCTGTGGTCCCGCCCGCCTCCAGGTTCCCGGGCTCCTCTAAGTCCGGGACCCGGGGAGCGGCTCCCGCGCCCCGCTCGTTGCTCTCGCAGTAGCAGAAAAGCAAATCGCGGCTCGCCGGGCCGGGGCGGCGCGCTACAGCTTTTACCTTCCACCAACACCGTTCTCGCTGGAGGGGGGCGGGGAGCAAGCACTCCGCCACAGGCTCTCCCCGCGGGTCAAATGAATGGAAGCGTGTGCCCCCCACCCCCCCACCCCCGCCAATCGAGAGCCCCTCCTTCGCCCGTCCCGTCCCCTTCCCGCTCCACCGAGCTCCGCAGCCCTCGGGGGCGGCTGACTTTCTCCCCGACTGGACTGGAGGACGGACGGGGTCTCGGTCATTAAAGTCCCGTCCTCCTGCCGTTTCCCCCACCCCACCCCCACCGCTAAACGACGGGGCGCCCTGCACGACTCTTTCATTGCGAGGGGCGGCTGCTGAGCCTCCTCCAGCCCTGCAGGGGAAAAGAGCGGGAAGGAGAAACCGAGACCAAAAAAAAAAAAAAGATCCTGTGAAAAAGGGGATGGATTGAAAAAAAACCCCCCCAAAAAATATATTTTTTTTTAAATGGGAAACTAACACATCAAGGGGGCAAGAGTCTAATTACTGCGCGGGTAGCTGGGCTGGGGGGCGCGGCGGGGGGAACCCCCGGGTGCGCAGGGCACGCAAAGGGGTGCGCGGGAGTGGGGGGGGTGGCGGCCTGCGGACTTAACCCGGGGGCCCAGCACCCAGCGAAAGGTCCTGAGACACCCGACCCAGGGAGCTCCCAGCCGGCCCGGTTCGGCCCGGGACTGGGAAATAAATAACGGGGGGAGCCCAGGCTGGGTGGGGGGGAGCCCGAGTGCGCAAAGCTGAGCAGCGCCGGGTGGGGAGGGCGGGGGTGCAACTTCTCCGGAAACGGCCCGGCCGGCTGGGAAATCACGGGGGGCGGCCCCCCAGGGAGGGGGGGGCCGACACGTGCTCGGCGGGCCGGGACCCCGCAAGGCTTTTGTGTGCTGCTGCTGCTGCTACCCGGTGGCCGTGGCGGCCGGGGGGCGAGAACCAGGTAGCCCTCGAGCCGCACAGGGGGAAAAGGGGAAAGAAAGAAAAAAAAAAGAGGGAAAAAAAATAACCCCCCTGCAGGCTGCGCGGGCGGGAGGAGAGGCGCGCGCGGGAGGGCGAGGAGGGCGGGCCGGGCAGCGGCCTGGGGACCTGGGGCTAAATGGGGGTGGGGGGGGAAGAGCGTGTGCAGGGGGAAGGGGCGGGGGCGCGGCCCGGGGGGCGCGGGGGGCGGGAGGGGCGGGGAGGGGAGGGCGTCGGGGGGGGGGGGGGGAGACGGGCCGCGGGCCGCCCCTTACTCACCCTTCATCCTCCTCGTTCTTACTGGCATCGATCTTCGCCCCCTCCGACTCGGCGCTGCCCCCTTCGGGGCCTCCGGCCGCGGAGCCGCCGCCCCCGGTCCCGGCGCCGCCGCCGCCCGCTGCTGCCGCCGCCGCCGCCGCTGCTGCCCCCGGCGCCGCCGCCGCCGCCGCCGCCAGGGCTCCCTCCTGCTCGCCCGCCGCCGAGCCGCCTACCGCCGCCGCCGCCCCGTCCCCGCCGAACTGCTCCTCCGACATGGTGCTCGCCGCCGCCGCCGCCGCCGTCGCCGCCGAGACGACCCCCCGCCGCTGCCGCGAACCGAAAACTCGCCGCCAAGTCAAATCCCCGCCGCCGCTGCCGCCGCCGCCGCCGCCGCGCGCCCCGCTCGACCGCGCCAAGCACCCCGCACGCAAAGGCACGGCGCGCGCGGCTGCACCACCAGGCTCCTTCCTTGCGCCGCTCCCGGGCCTGCCCCCCTCTCGCCTCCCACTCCCGCGCGGCGCGCACTCCCGCTCTCGCCCGCGACGCTCAGGGAGAATCAGGCAAGGGGGGGAAAAAAAAAAGCAGCAGCAGCAGTCGTAGTAGTCGCAGCAAGCAGCAGCAGCAGCAGCAGCGGCGGCCGCGCTCGCCTCCTCCTCGCTTTAATGGCGCCGCCGCCGCCGCGGACCACCTAAAATGGCCGACGGAAGAACGGCGCGTCCCGGTCACGTGACGCCCCGCGCGCGCGCGCCCTCGGCGCCGCCCCCGCCCCCTCGCCCGCTCAGGGGGGGCGGCGGCTTCCTTTTCTTTTTTTTTTTTTTGGCCCTTTCTTTTTCCTCTCTTCCCCGCCAATCCCCCCCTTTCCCTTCTCGGCTCTCTCCTCTCGCTCCCTTTTCCGAAGGCCTTCTCTCTCGCGCGCGCGCGCGGGTCGACGCCGCGTAGCGTGGGGCCTTTAAAAGGAACCGGAAGTGGCGTGCGCGGAGACGGCCGCGCGGGGAGCATCGAGAACAAGGAACGCGGTTGGGGAGGCGCGGCTAGAGGGGCCTCTTTCCACCTCCTCCTCCTCCTCCTCCTCCTCTCTCTCCTCCCCGCCCCTCCCTCCCCACGCCAGGCCTCCCGGAGCGCCCCGAGCGGCGGCGGCGGCGTGGGAGAGAGGGGTGTGGCCGCGCCTCCCGGAAGGCCGCGCCGGCCCGCCGGGTCCTCTCGGTGGTCGGGGCGAGCGCGCGTGCGCGCGGGCGGCGGCAGCTAGTTCGCCCGCCTGCCTGCCTCGGGGGGCCTCGCGCCCCGGTGACATTGAGCCGCTTCCCGCGGCGCCTCCCGGCCGATGGTGCCCGCACCTTCTGCTGCTGGAAGACCCCCCCCCGAGTGCCAGAGGCGGGGGTCCTGGCCGAGCCCGTTCGGTCCGGAGGCAGGAGGGAGGGCGCCAGGGATGCTGCGGCGGGCGTCTGCGGCCCGCGCTTTCCCGGCGCCCGCGGCGGCGTCTCCACGAGGCTTTTTTTTTTTTCCCCGTTGTTGGTGGTGTTGGTTTTGGTGCTTTGTGGGTTCTTTTATTGAACACCGCGGGGCGTGCCGGGGAGCTTGTAAAAGTTCTTTTAATGGCCCCGTTGGAAGCCCCACGTGGTGCCGTGACTTGGAAACTGGATGATTGGACGTCGGAGGTTTGCAGCTGCCTGGAATACGCTTAAAACACAGTGCAGTTAGGAGATCCTTGCTTTCAGGCCACCCGTGATCATTTACCTGTTCGGCTGATGCCCAGGCACTAGGGGTTTTAAAAAAAAAAAAAAAAGATGAGGGTGAAGTTTGGCGAAGGATCCTGGAAAGTTTGTTTCCATCACGTAAGCGAAATGAGTTGGTAGTAAGTAGATACTGTCCAAGGATGTCAAAAGGAAGATGGTTAAGAGTATCTAATTTATGATGTTTGCAGGGTCTTAAAGGCTGGAGAGAAGGTTCAGCCCGCAGGGCACTTGCCTAGCTGGACCTGCTTGACCGGGCTTCAGCCCCCAGCGCCCCATATAGTGCCCCCAAGCACGTTCCAGGTGTGGATCCCGCAAAAGTGATGAGATTTCGTACTTGAAGGGCTGAGGAGGCGGTCCAGGAGTTAATGCACTTGCCTTGCGTGCTGTCGCTGCCTCCCCCACCCTTGAGATCCCCAGCCACGGATTAAAGTCCCAGAGCAACTTCAGGGGATCACTCCTGATCCCCAAGCCAGTAGAGCACCACCCCCCCAGTAGTCCTAGCGCCCAGTTTTTAGACCCCAATAAAAGCATTTGCATTACTAAAAGCCAAAAATAAGCATTTTGGGGGCAGGGACTTCACTGTTGGTGACCCTGGGTGCATCCAAGCACCAAAAAAATAAATATATAAAAAAAAGTCATACATACCCAAAAATATCCTGAAAATGTCTTTGAAATTCAACATTACTAGGGGCTGGAGTGATAGCACAGCGGGTAGGGCATTTGCCTTGCACGCGGCCGGCCGGCCGGTCAATCCGGGGTTCGATTCCCAGCATCCCATATGGTCCCCTAAGCACCGCCAGGGGTAATTCCTGAGTGCAGAGCCAGAAGTAACCCCTGCGCATCACTGGGTGTGACCCAAAAAGCAAAAAAATAAAATTCAACATTACTGGACTTCCATATTAAGCACAGATCAGACGCGATCCTAAGAAAACTCACATCAAAAGCTAGTGACAAGTCAGGCCAAAGGGCAGAGATAGCACACTGGACAGGGGGCTTGTTATGAAAGCAGCTGACCCAGGCACTATCCGCAGCATCCCATCTGGTCACCTGAACCTGCCAGGAGTGATCCCTTAGCGCAGCGCCATGAATAAACCCTGAGCACAAGCCAACTATGGCCCAAAACCTTTAAAAAAAAAAAAAGCACACTAGTCAAAGTGGATTTTGAATGTGAAACATGTCTATTCAGTGACAATACAAAGTTCACAAAGAAAAGTGTCTTGAATTTTTTCAAGCAAGGGGTCTTGATCTTAACACTTATGTATGCTCACCTTTTATTTATTTTTGTTTGTTTGTTTTTGGGTCACACCTGGCCGTGCACAGGGGTTACTCCTGGCTCATGCATTCAGGAATTTCTCCTGGAGGTGCTCAGAGGACCATATGGGATGCTGGGAAGTGAAGCTGGGTCGGCTACGTGCAAAGCAAATGCCCTACCCGCTGTGCTATCGCTCCAGCCCCCACATTCTCACCTTTTATTTATTAACAAAGTGCTTCTCCCAAAATGTTCATTTTAATTCCCACATAGCTTCTGGGCTTGGAATTTATATTTTTAAAAATTGCAGAAAAGCATAGAAAATGGTTTTAAAGCTAAGTATCTGTGTTACTTGAAGACGCATGTGCCTGGTCAGTCATTCCTACCTACCAAGACTCAACTCTGCTTTCTCAGCTCCATTCACACAGCATTTCTCTTAGAACTCTCTGAACTTCGACCCTAGTAGCACCTATTGATCCAGCAAAATCCCAGGTAATGATGCTACCCAGTTCCTTGAAGCCATTCCAAGCTCTAAGGCAAAATTCATCATTCTTCCAGTCCATCAGCTCCCTGGTCCACAGGCGTAGGTAGGTTGAAAAGCTTCAGTGTGTGACCTTGCTTCTAACTGAAGGAGTGCTTGGGGGTGTGCTTGTTTGGGTAGTTCCTGGAGAGCAGAGATGATGGATACAATGTATCCTGCCTCACACAGCTTTATACAGAAACACTAGCAGACACCAGGAATTTCAGGTAAATTGTTAAATGGTTACTTCTTTAGGTTTCAAAGGAAGTATACTTAAAGAAACTTAAGATTCTCTTCTACCATCTCATCTTTGGTATAAAAATATTTCCCAAACCACTTGCAGTTATGTGAAACTCCTTTTTCCAAGTGCATACATCAGAATTCAGTGTTCAAGTGGGTCAAGATGGTATACTGCCACTATATTGATTGTGCTGGTGCTTAGGGCCGGAGAGACAGTGCAGTGGTTAGGGCTCCTGCCTTGCATGTGGCCAACCCAGGTTTGATCCCTGGCGCCACCTATGGTCCCCTGAGCATTGCCAGCAGGAATTCCTGAGTGCAGAACCAAGAGTAACCCCAGAAGATCGCTGGGTGTGGCCCCAAAACAAAAACATGGGGGGAAAAGTTGTGCTGGCCCAAAGCACTATATGGAAAGCTGTGTGCTTTAAGAGTCTATTCCAGAGGCATCGCTGCCTTGGGGCGTGTCCTGTGTGTTCCAGCTAACACTGGAATACAGAGTCCTTCCTGAATTCAGCCTTTGCAAGCAATAACTCAAACCGTAGTACTTCTAAGAGGCAGATTTTCTTGGTTTTGTGTCTGAACCTCACCCAGCAGTGCTCAGGACTTGCTTCTGGCTGCACTCAGGGATCACTCCTGGCGGGGCTGGAAGGACCATGGGAATAACCAGGGATCGCTCAACCCAGGTCTGCCCTGTGCAAAGCAAGCGCCCTATTTGTTGTACTATTGCTCTGGCCCTAATTATTTTTTTCTGGAACGTTCATTTGAAATTTAAAATGAAATCACCATAGGACAAGATATAAAACCAAGTTAAGGAGCCACCTTTTTCATCCACTGGATAAGTAAAACTGGGGCAAGCATATCCAGAGCTTATATATATGTCAGAGATTCACACTGTCGCTGTCCTCCCGTTGTTCATCAATTTGCTCGAGCGGGCCCAGTAACGTCTCCATTTTGAGACTTGTTGTTACTGTGTTTGGCATATCGAATGCATCACGGGGAGCTTGCCAGGTTCTGCCGTACGGGCGAGATACTCTCGGTAGCTTGCCAGGCTCTCCAAGAAGGGCGGAGAAATTGAACCCGGCTCAGCCAGGTTGGCTGCGCACAAGGCAAACGCCCTACTGCTGTGCTATCGCTCCAGCATGACATTTATGATTTTAAGGTGGAATGTTCATTCCTTTGGCAAGGTGGAATAAGCAATGCACAGAACAAAAAGCAAGAACCCGTACATGGTCCCCCTCGACCATATCAAATACCCATAACCTACAGAATAACCTGTCAGGCCCAAGCGTCCTCTTCAACGAGCTTGTGAGGTTACCTGATGTGACCAATGGCCCAGATGGAAAGCTCTCTATCCCCCCTGTTTGTCAGCAAGTTCTCGCTTCATTTGGAAATATTAGAGGCTGAGATGTCAAGTTTATGGGAGCAACAGACTTGGAGGGCCCGCTTTCTACTTCACCATTGAGAAGTCAGGTGTTCCTTGAAACAAGCCTACCCACAAAGAACTCAGGATCAGGAAACGGAATCTTCTGGCTCCAGGCCTTCCTATCCCAG